TATTGAAATACATCAGATTTCAAATTGGCTCAATAGGATTGAGACTGGATTGATACTTCCTCTTGTGAGGGAGACTAGAACTAGGGGACACAGTTTAAGAATAAAAGTATCAATTTTAAGATGGAGATGAGGATGTTGTTTTTCTTTGCGGGTTATTAGTACATGGAATTCGATTCACTGAGTTGATAGACAAGGGAGTCAAACTAATTTTTTAAAAAGTTTGTTCATACAATGAGAGTGTCCTGGTAGGGGCAGCATTTATTTCACATCCCTAGTTGCCCTTGAAGAGGTGGTGGTGAGCTGCCTTCTTGAATCAGTGCAGTCCATGTGCTGTAGTTAGACCCACAATGCCATTAGGGAGGAAGTACCAGGATTTTGACCAAGAAATCCTGAAGGAACGATGATACACTTTCAAGTCAGGATAGTGAGGAGCTTGGAAGGGAACTTGCATTCCCATATATCTGCAGTTCTTGCTTTTCTAGATAGTAGAAGTCATACAGTTGGAAGGTGCCCTCTATGGAACCTTGGTGAGTCATTTCAATGGATCTTGTAAACGGTACACACTGCTGCCACTGACTATCGATGGTTGAGGGAGTGAATGTGGTTGCTCTGTCCCAGATGCTGTTAAGCTTCTTGAGTGTTGTTGGAGCTGCACCCATCCATGGAAGTGAGGAGCATTCCATCGCACTCCTGACTTGTGCTTTGTAGATGGTGGACAGTCTTCGGGGAGTCAGGAAGTGTGTTACTCACTACAGGACTCATTACTTCTGCCCCGTTTTTGTAACCACGTCATTTATGTGGCTATTTTACTTCAGTTTCGCAGGTCGTTGATTGTGGTGGATTCTGATGTTGATGCCATTGAATGTCAAGGTTAGATTCTCTCCTGTTCTGGATGGTCATTATCTGGCAATTGTGTAGCACAAATGTTATTTGCCTTTTGTCAGCTCAGACTTGAATACTGTCCAGCTCTTGCCGCATTTAAAAATTGACTGCTTCAGTCTCTGAGGAGGCACAAATAGTGCTGGACATTGTGCAATCATCAGCTGTCATGATTCCAGATGATGCCACCAGACAGGTCAGACCTGAAAACAAGCTTGATTTTTTTTTTTTAATTTTGCACTGAATATCAGCACTAAATTGTGCTGAATTCTAACAATAAAACAGAACTTTGATATGCAAAAGAGTAAACCAAATTTTTGCAAAAACACAATTTGAAAAATTCTGAAATTCATGACCAAATACAATCCCATCTATCCCAACACTATGATGTCATAGTACTGAAACACCAAAGAGTGTTTACTTCTCTATCAAATCTATAAGTTAAAGTTAACTGTTCTTCGAATTCCCGGTCTTGAGTATTTGGTAGCCTTTTCCTTGATTACTCACAAAATAGAGCTTACACTTTCTCAAATAACTTCAAATAACGCCTCTAGGGTCATAAGAATGTAAGAGAGAGGAACAGGCATAAACTATTCAGCCCCTGAAGCCAGCCCCACTGTTCAATAGGATATGGCTGACCTAATATTCCTCATATCCATTTTCCTGCCCTTTCCCCACAACTCCCAATTCCCCTACTGATCACAAATTATCTATCTCAGCCTTAAATATACACAAGGACCCTGCCCCACAGCTCTCTGTGGCAAGGAGTTCCAAAGACACAACCCTCTGGGAGAAGAAATTCCTCTTCATCTCAGTCTTTATTCTTTATTCTGAGACAATGTCTTACATTCTCCATGAGGGGAAACATCCTCGCAGCATTTATCCCATCAAGTCCCTTAAGAATCTTAGATGTTTCAATGAGATCACCAATCATCCTTCTAAACTCCAGTCTCAACCTGTTTAGCCTCTGCTCATAAGATGATCCCTCCATATCAAAGATCACCCAAGTGCACCTTTTCTAAATTGGCTCCAATGAAATATCTTTTCTTAAAGAAGTGGACCAAAATGGCTTAGAGTTCTCCAGATGTGGTCTCACCAGCACTTGAACAGTTATAATAAGACTTCCATACTCTCATACTCCAATCTGCCTGAAATACGGCCCAACATTGCATTAGCATTCCTGATCCTTACTTTCTGTTAAAACACCTCTTCTGGCCTCGAACTTTCAAATTAAAATTCTTACACTGAGGTAACCTTGTACCTAACTTTTCTGAACTGACTACTTTCTGTGGGAGAAATCGTTTCATACATCCGACTTCAATATGGACATTGCAAACTCAAGGTGAAAGCTTTCCAAGCCATGAGTTTCTCCCCTAAGAGGAAGAAATCCCAATGCTTCTATACCAAAGGACAATCTCTATAGCTACTTCCTTTAAAATCCTTGGGAACAAGCCAGAGGAATTAACAGCCTTTTGCCTCATTAGTTTTTCTTGTACCTTTTTTCCAGTGATAGTTATTGTGTTTATTTCCTCCACCACACCCCAGTCAAATAACCTAGATTTAGGTAAAGGCTGGTTATGGATGTTAAACAATGGACATTTTGTCCTCCCACCTCAAGCCACCTCCACCTCAAGCCCCACTCCCATCTCCTACCTACTAGCCTCATCCCGCCCCCTTGACCTGTCCGTCCTCCCTAGACTGACCTATCCCCTCCCTGACTCCCCACCTACACTCACCTTTACTGGCTCCACCCCCGCCTCTTTGACCTGTCTCTCTCCTCTCCATCTATCTTCTCCTTTATCCATCTTCTATCCGCCTCCCCCACTCTCCCTATTTATTTCAGAATCTCCTTCCCCTCCCCCATTTCTGAAGAAGGGTCTAGGCCCGAAACGTCAGCCTTCCTGTTCCTCTGACGCTGCTTGGCCTGCTGTACACCTTGTTATCTGACATTGAAGGAGACACGGATATTCCAATGAATTTGTGATCTGAGTCACTCAGTACCATACGTTTATCCACAGGATTTCATTGATTTCTTTGAATACTTTTAGTAAAATATGACTTATATTGCGAGATCAGAGCTTGAGGCAGAAACAAATATCCAAAATTATATGTGTAAGTAAGACAAATCATTGTCCCAGCTTACACTAAAATGTCTACCCATAAAATTTTGAGGAGTACAGAGAAGAGTTCTAAATTTGCAATAGTCTTAACAGTGGGATTATTAGGAACAATTCTAAATGAACTGAAAAGCCTAGAATGTAAATTTTGAAAGCAGAATAACCAAGTAAGTGATTTATCCTGCACTCTTTGACATATTCTTGCTTCTTGACCTGCAGCTGAAGTCCAGTGTGAAATAGAACGAATCTTTGAACTAGCAAGAACACTGCAGTTAGTAGTCCTTGACGCAGATACAATCAACCATCCAGCTCAGTTGGGCAAAACCTCTTTGGCTCCTGTGATTGTCTATGTGAAAATTTCATCTCCAAAGGTATCGTGACACATGTTTTTGCATTTTTCTTTTGGTTTTCCAAACATCAGTCTGTATAATTCTGCAAGGCCCATCAGCAGAAGATGGAATGAGCGTTTTCTTCAAACACAATTTCAAGGTGGTGGTCACCTGTTAAAATACGATTAACATCTCCTGCATCTACGAGAAAACAATGCTAAATACACCCCTGTAAACTTGGTCATTTTGGGGCACTTCTGTCCCTCCAGATTTGAAATGGGTAACTGTTGGTGTTGATGAGAAGGATTTGGCTGAAAGGTAAAATGTATGTTAATTATACGGATGTGGCATCATAATTCTTGCATCGTTTCCCAGGATTCCATCAAGTATCCACTGAAACTGTGGAGGGAAGTGTTGACGTTTATGGGTCTGAGTGTCCGTAGAAGGGTAGCCACCAACGCCCTGAGGCTTTGAATAAACTCTAGGAGCAACAAGACTGCAGTTCCAGCAATTTATATTGTCACATGGTTTTATAAGCACTTGAGCAGTGCGCAGCCTCTCTCCCTTAACTAGGAGCAGACATCACTATCTGTCTTAGAGATAGTAGGAACTGCCGATGCTGGAATCTGAGATAACAAGGTGTAGAGCTGGAGGAACACAGCAGGCCAGGCAGCATCAGAAGAGCAGGAAGTCTGACGTTTTGGGTCTGAACCCTTCTTCAGAAATGGGGGTGGGGAAGGGGGCTCAAATAAATACAGAGGAGGAGGCGATGATAGAAGGTGGATAGAGGAGCAGATAGGGGGAGAGTAGACGGACAGGTCAAGGAGGCGGGGATGAGGCTATTCGGTAGGAAGTGGGGGTGGGGGTTGGTCAGTGAGGTGGGAGGAGCGGATAGGTGGGAGAAAAGACGGATAGGTCAAGGAGGGGGGGACGAGATGGGCTGGTCTTGGGATGAGGTTGGGGGTGGGGAGATTTTGAAGCTTGTAAAGTCCACATTGAGACCATTGGGCTGCAGGGTTCCCAAGCGGAATATGAGGTGCTGTTCCTCCAGCCTTCAGAGGCATCGTTGTGGCATGGGGGGAGGCCCAGGATGGACATGTGGTCCAAGGAGTGGGAGGGGGTGTTGAAAGCCTGAAAACAGGAAAGTAGCTGACTCAGAAAAATTAGTTAGATCCAGTCTGGTAAAGTTATACAGTGTCATTGTCATGGCAGGACTTTGAACTGTTTTATACTTGCTACTCTCTTGAAGTGTCTGATTCTTTATATCTTGACGACTAGGTAGGTGCATTTTTTTTTAAGCACTAACTTCCTAAGCTTACTGTTTTGCCTTGCATGTAGGTTTTGCAGAGATTAATAAAATCCAGAGGAAAATCCCAGGCTAAACACCTGAATGTGCAGATGGTTGCTGCAGACAAACTGGCTCAGTGCCCACCTGTAAGTAATTTTAATCATTTTTTTCCTCCATGTATTGCACACAACTATTTATTATAACTTATTTATTTCTTGAAAGCCAATTGATTGACACTTTCACATCACTACTTCAGCTTGAACATAGCGTGTAGTAAGCAGCAAAAAGAATGGAATTATTCTGCAGTTCTGACAGGACGAGGGGAGGGAGAAGCAGACAGGTTCAATTCTTTTGTGAGGCCCAATATCCTGCCACCAGCTCACAAGCAGGAAAGGACCCTGCCTTAGTGCATGATGGGACTGGCGACTGCATTTTGCCTCGCATGGCCAACTTAAGTGACTGCCCCTGACTGCCTTCAATCCATTCAGCTACCATTCTGTTTAATAGCCATCACAGTGCCATTGCCAGTGTAGCTCTTTGCAGAGGTTGCAGCTGCAGTGAAAGGGCACCACAATGACTCTGCAGCCCTGAAGCAGATTAAGCAGAGGAGTGATAGTGGCATAGTTACAGCAGTATACCGACGATACCATTGCAATGAGGTGGCCCCTTTCTGGACCATAGGAAGGCCCCCTTGCTACACTTCAGGCAATGGAGTATCTCCACAGAGGCGAGTAATGATCTTTAACTGGCCACTTCAGAGCCCAGCTCAATGGTCTCAGGGTGGGCAGACAACTTTCCTATGCTGGCAAACTGGCATGGCAGTGCGAAGATATCAGGCATACCCCCACCCCGACACTGTTCCACATCGCTTTGTCAGCTTCCCACCTCCCTAGCCACCCTCAAAGCAACCATAAAGTTCCAGCCAAGTGGACAGTTAGAAATATAATGGGTTTTATGTAGGTGCAGAGACAGAAGAACAGTTGATCTGAGGAAGGGTGGAAAACAGGAGAGGTTAAGCTATAGACGAGACCATGGTGCAAAACTTGAGGGCTTTATATATAAAGAACTGCTGGATGTCTTAGAAAGAAATTAATGCTGAAAGTGGAAAAGTGCCAATCAACATTGGCCATATGGTGAAATATAATGGGCTGAGGTTACTGGAAAATTAACAGCATGTCATTATTAATGTACCGATCAGCCGGAAATTCAGGCGATTAACAAATACAAATCTCTAGGGTTTCCAAGTCAATTTATGCCACTCTGTTGCTTGAAGCACAGACAGAAACAGCATCTCTTCCTTTGTCTTCCCCTTATTCATAAGAATTTGCTGAATTTACACATTATATGCCCTTTAAACTCATTGCAGAAATTTAAACCTGGCAATTAAAATCATAAGTATCCTTCCAATGAAATGATAATTATTACCATACTACCAATCAGTCTCTGGCTCAGAAATTTTGAAATGTTTTATCTTGGTCCTTGCATGAGGGAAATTGTTCAAGATTTGAAAAGATGTTTTATTTTTAAATTTTTCTTTTTCCTTTGTCACTTTTTTCTCTCTCAAAGAAATCTAACTTTCCTTTTTAATTCTCCCTATCTCTGTAGCTGATTTGACTCATTCAGGATCCTTTCTGCTTCTTTCTTGAATTGTAAACATGACTGCATCAAGAAAGAGAGAGGCTGTTGGTTTTGTCATTCACTGAGGATACCGATGCCCCATTGCCTTTGCCACACTTCAATCAATTTGCAATTCCATCAAGTTAGAACAGGTTACAAGAAAAAGTGTAAATGACAGCACATGCAACGAGATGTCCCAATCCAGTGAAAACCAAGCCTGTGTTGTAGGTTTAATTCTTTATTTTAGCCATGACAAAATGGAAAGTTCCATTTTACCAGAACATTTTCACCAGAGGAACATTTCACGCTTAAAATGCCTGGATTTAATTTTATACGTTTGGTCCATGTTCTTGATTCCCTTCCCTGAATAAAAGATGATTAGGTATGCTCTAGTGATTTAATTATTTTAAACACTGTTTAAATTCAAGGGAACACAAATTAAATTTGTACAATCTGCCCACATAATTTAACTGTTTGGACAATACCATGGTGTGTCTATAATCTTGTTGGTAGCCTTTCCTGCCCTGGCCCATATCTATTCCAGTCTCAAATCGCAATGTTTAAATGTCTACATAGTTGAGGGTTGTGTGTAGCATTTGTACCTGTGCAAAGAAGCAAAGTAAGAAAGGGGGAAAGAAACAATTGAAAGGTTAAATGAATACAGAATAATTTATAATAATTTCCCCTTTTACCCTTTCCTTGCAGAACAATGAATAGAATAAAATATTAACCATAAATATTTAAAGCATGTTATAACAATTTTCATTCCCATACTCCTCAGTGAATCTCATTTTTGTTTAGTTAAATTAAAATTTGATGCACGTGATGAGTTTAAATCAGTTACTAGGGCTCTTGTGGCACAGTGGTAGAGTCAGAGTCCTAGAGTTGTGTAGCACAGAAACAGACCCTTTGTCCAATTCGTTCCTGCTGGACCGATATCCTAAATTAATCTAGTCCCATTTGCCAGGATTTGGCCCATATCCCACTTAAACTCCCCTTATTCATGTACCCATCCAGGTGCCTTTTAAATGTTGTAATTGTACCAGTGTCCATACACATGCCACCCTCTGCGTGAAAAAGTTGTCCCTTTTAAATCTTTCTCCTCTCACCTTAAACCTATGCCCTCTAGTTTTGCACTCCCTTACCCTGGAGAAAAGACCTTGGCTATTCACCCTATCCATGCCCCTCATGATTTTATAAACTTCTATGAGGCCGCCCTTTGCAATCTGACACTCCAGGGAAAATAGCCCCAGGCTATTCAGCCTCTTTCTATAGCTCAAACCCTCCAACCCTAGCAACATCCTTGTAAATCTTTTCTGAACCCTTTCAAGTTTCACAATATCCTTCCTATAGCAGAGACCAGAATTGAATGCAGTATTACAAAAGTGGCCTAACTAATGTCCTGTACAGCCATTATATGACTTCCCAACTCCTATACTCAATGCACTGACAAAAGCAAGCGTACCAAGCACCTTCTTCACCACCCTACCTGTGACTCCACTTTCAAGGAACTGTGAACCTGCACCGAGGCCTCTTTGTTCAACGCTCCCCAGGACCTTACCATTAAATGTATAAGTCCTGCCTTGATTTTCCCTACCAAAATGCAGCACCTTCCATTTATCTCATTTATTACATTCATGACATTTGTTAAATTAAACTCCCATCTGCTACCCCTCAGCTTATTGACCCATCTGATTAACGTCCCGTTGTACTCAAGGTAACCTTCACTGTAGTGTCCTTACCTCTGGGACCAAGAGGCCTGGGTTCAAGTCCCACCTGCTCCAGAGGTGTGTATGAACATTTCTGAATGATTTAATTAAAAGTAATATAAACTATTGGTATTTTAACAGTAGTCTATGTAACTACTACTAATGCATTGAAGGGAGTAAATTGTAATGTACCAAATGTATTAAACAATGGGAGCTAAAATTTACTATTTTACCTCAACAAATCTCAACTTGCATTCAATTTTTTTTACACTGAAAGAAATAGAATTGAAATTTCTGCCGTTTCTCTAGGAATTGTTTGATGTAATTCTTGATGAAAATCAGCTGGAAGATGCCTGTGAGCACCTCTCTGACTACTTAGAAGCTTACTGGAGAGCTACCCACCCTCCTAGCAGCAATCCTTCCAATCCCCTCCTCAGCCGTACAATGGCATCTGCAGCTCTTCCTACAAGTCCAGCACCAGTCTCCAATCTACAGGTACATGTTCTTGCTTCTCTCCAACCTAATCTTCATTTTTGGGATATAGAGGAAGATGGAAAAAGCAAAGAGATTTGTGACAATCACATTGCACTTGAAATGAAGACATTTAATTATCTTCCTGCTTCAGGATAGCATCTAAACAAAACTGTTTAAAAATCAAAGTGTTAATTTTGCCAGCATCTCCTAATGGTACAAGTTTTACTTGAGAAAATCATTTAACTTTGATTGCGGTGGTTGTGATGAATCAAAGTAAAGCTAACAAAGGAATATTGAATGATTAAAGCATAATTCCATTAGCCTGTGTTTTCACAGGGGATTTCTTGACCTTAATGTGAACTGGACATTATTGATTTGTGGTTTTGAGCCTGCATGCTACTTTTTCTTTAAAAATCAGCTAATTGGTTTCAAGATGGAGATGTTTGAAGAATAGTGTAGTGTTAAACTTCTGCTGAATAGTACCCTCAAAAATATAACATTTCACTTACTTTAACAATTTTCAATATTAATGTTATGGTATTAACATTTGGTTTGATTTACACGAATACACTTTGACAGTAATTTCCTTGCTTCAGTAACTAAACAAGAATGCATCTTATTATAAATATTAGTAAAAACAGGCATTAACTTTACTAAAGCTAATTAGAAGCTGGGTTGTGTATAGTGCATGTCTCTTTGCTTGTAAATTAATCAAGTTAATGAAATAAATTCTTGAATTGTGAAATTCTGACTAACTGGATTGTTGCATGGTGTGGTACTAACCAGGTTGAACAAAAGCAGGGAGAGCAGAAGCAGCTACCTTCAGGACCGGAAAGAACTGCTTCGCAGGAGGAAGAGAAACCACCAGAGCCAGTGAAAAAGTCCCAACATCGAACTTCTTCCTCTGCAAAGCATCACAATCACCGCAGCACTGCGAGTCGGGGCCTAGACAGACAAGAGACATTTGACTCAGATACCAAAGGCAGCAGGGATTCTGTGTATATAGAACCAAAGGATGATTATATGGATAGCGCTGGTGATCATTACAGTTCACACCACAATCATACAGAAGAACCCCAAGGGGATGGCACGCACAGGCATAAAGAGTCATGGCATCGTTCTAAGGATCGAGACAGAGAACAGGATCATAACGAACGGAACAAACAGCATAGTCGGCATAAATCAAAGGATCGATATAGTGATAAAGATGGGGATGTTGCATCTAAAAAAAGGAATGATGCCAACGAATGGAACCAGGATGTGTACATCCACCAATAACTGCCTCCAGCTGCTGTGTCCCTCTAGTGTGTGTGTGTGTGTGTGTGTGTGCGCGCGCGTGCGGACGTGTGTGTGTGCGTGTATGTGTAAAAGAGAAAGTATATATTTACCTGATCAGTCTATAAAGTTTATTGTACACTTGAGATTTCGTACAAGTTGTTGCTAAGGCAGCATGGAATTAAATTCAATATGATTCATTTTAAAACATGGTAGAATTACAGAACTGCTAGTGTGGTACTGTGCTCTTAGTGTTTTTGGTTTGGTTTTGATTGCTGCCAGCTGAACAATAACTGTCACTAGCAAACCATTGTTAATGTACTTAAGCAATGTCTGTGTGGGGGAACAATCAATTTTCCTGGGTATTCAGGAAAGTTTGGATCAGCTTATACTGTAGTTTACCTTTTTTTTTCCTCAGAAGTTTAATTTCTACATTCTCAACATTTATTTTCGAATGAAATCTTCACAAGTTTAAAATCACTGGCTTATATCTGTGGTTGGGGTGGGATTGAGGAATTTAGTCTTGCCTTACACTTCAGAGTTAATTAAGAGAAAGTATTTTCTAAGTACAGATACTATGTACTCTATATAGACTATTGTTCTATTTGTACTCGACACTTAGAAATCATTTTAAAAATAATATAGTTATAGCCACTATACCTGCTTCAAAATCTGAAAGATGATGAATTTTCCTTTATCATGCTAACTATGATTGGCTTCTTTTGGAAAATTGGTAGTTAGGAGTTTTCATTTCACCCCTCCCTAGCTTTTGAAATTCAGAACTTAGATGCATACGTCATCGATCATTGGGGTGGGAAATTAAATAAATAATATATAATATAGAGACATATATTGTTTAGAATTTTTTGTAAAATGCTAGTCTTAACTGACAAAGCGGTTTACTTGATAAGTCTAAGTTATATACCAAATACTGAATATTATGTACGTTACATTTTTCTGTTTAGGAATTGCCTGAGGGTTCTGTGTTATTGTTCCTTTGTTATAAACTATTGAACTTCTCCAAATGGCTTTGTCTTATTGCTTAATAAGCATAAGATGAGCTGTTCTGGTTACTGTATATGCACATTTGTGGAATTTATTTTCAAAATCCAGTTTGTAAGCATTTGTATATACATATATATATATATAAAATTCATAATTGCCTTTGTAGATATTGACAGTAGATGATCTTGTTGCACTGTTTAATTGAGTTATTTATTTAACCGTACAAATGGTGGCTGTACATGTTAACTGAACATGTGGAAATGCCATTTCATCAACAGGATCAATGTTCTTATTGCTTCTGTTATGTAATGAAGAAACACTTATACAAATACATGTACACACACGTACACATATCCATGCCTACATACTTCCAGTCAGTTTGCCTGAAATAGGATACTGATTTTCCTTAAGTAAAAACCGAAAGACTGCAGATGCTGTAAATCAGAAACAAAAACAGAAGTTGCTGGAAAAACTCAGCAGGTCTGGCAGCATCTGTGGAGAGATGTCAGAGCTAATGTTTCGGGTCAAGTGACCCTTCCTCAGAATTGGGCAAGTTCTGAGGAAGGGTCACTTGACCCGAAACATTAACTCTGATTTCTTTCCACAGATGCTGCCAGACCTGCTCAGCTTTTCCAGCAATTACTGATTTTTCTTCCTGTTTCAACCATCACACATGGTTATTATAAATGTTCTGACATATAAGCTGTTTATTCTCTAATTCATCTACCAAATTATTCATTTTCTTCAAAGTAATAAAGTGGATTTTGGATCTATTGCTGAATTTTTTTTACAGCACTTTTCCCTATCCTTCCAATTTCCTACTTTTGTTGTGGGAGGCCTGATATGGATGCAGTTCCTGACTGAATGTGCTTTGGGCTTATGTGTAAAAATAAATATTTGTAGGACAAGCAGCTAAACTTGAACTCTAGTGTTTAGCGGATTTGGATTTTGCAATTTTAAAACCTTCTGTGGCAAACATATAGTAAAGATTAAATTATACTAATGGGCACTTTATGGGAGACTGTTTGTAATCAGAGCCTTTCGTCTCAGTGGGTGAATAATTCGTTATTATTACCAGCCCACCTTAGAACACTCCAGCTCTTCAAAACTGCAGTTTAGGTGGGTATATATGCGATATCACAGGGGCATCTTAGAACATATCCCAGCATGAGTCAGTGCCTTCAAGAGGAAAGCTGAAACTGAGAATAGTTTGAATCAGAATCACTTCAGTCTTATTAATTACAGGTGTACTATTTTTGAGATACTCAGTGGACAAAATAAAAAGGCAACGACACCTAAGCACTTGAGACCATAGCGCACTGAGTTATAGAGATATTATTTTAAGGACTCCAAGCTGAACTCACTTTGGAAACTATTTAGAGTTCATATTTCTTTTGAATATAAAGAAAATGCATTGGTGTTCCCAAGCAGCCACTCACTCAGCAACACAACTCTGGTAACTGGAGATATCTGGAGCAGACAATGCTGAAAATACTTGGTCAGTCTGGCAGTACCAGTGAATAGGAAGCTGAGTTAACATTTCAGGTCACTGCTGTTGGGTTCAAAGGAAAAAGCACCAACTTGACATGTTATCACCATTTCTCTCTCCAAGTCGCTGCCAGGTGGGCTGAGTATTTCTAGCAGCTTTTTTGTCTCTATTTCAAAAAAAAACTGGATGTGGAGATTTGTGCTGTTGAATTTTTCTGTCCCTTGTCATGAAGTAAACATTCTGACCTCTATTGTCCAATCTGTCCTCTCACCAATGAGGTACAGTCACCAAACAACATGTATCCCATAACCATTGAAACAGTATGAGCTCTTCAATTTTTACAATGATAAACCTGTTCTGAGGTAATAAAATAAAGTTACATCATTCTACAATAGAGGGAACAAAGTGAATCTAGGTTTCAAAATGGAGTAAAAGAAACATCGTTGGTTTAAACTATATTATGTGATGAATAATGTGTAAAGAGAGGCACGGTAATTTGTCAGTGTTTTATCCTGGATATAGGTGACATTTTAAAGAGCATCAAATAGAATTACAGGGTAACATTATCAGCCAGTCAACGTTTCTAATGGTGAAATCCTCAAATGGTGCTTGAACCTTTTCACAACAATATTATGTTGGCCTTTGAAGAACTGAATCATAAGTTTGAAAAACAAACTTGTTAAATGTATACATTATAAGAAATGCAAATTAAAGATGAACAATTTATGGTCCTACAACTTATGTGTAACGGTATTTTGCCCAATTTTAATGTGACATTTTTATTCTTGATTTCTTGCTGGTGATAATCAATTTTTCCCTTTTCTTCAAGAGATGACATCTATAACAAAATGACAGAAAGATCTCTCAATGGCCCTCTGCCCATCTTACTTTAGACAACCATTAGGAGGCAGGAGAGTGGAGTTAGGGACCAACTCACTTTTGCCCCCAAATTCTCCTGGGCATTGGGAGGGGGTGAAACTGGCCATTGTTCAGCAGCTCCACATGCTGATGCCATTGAGATTGGTAGAGTGGGGGATATTTGATATTTCTGACCGTGGCACTTCAACCTGACATTTGTGGTGACTTATTCACTTACTACACCTGATCTAACATATTTCTTGGAAAAGAATAGCAAGGCCATAGACATAGTTTTAATCTGCAATACATCAGCAAATATTTTGCTTAATCATTGTGCAGTCACAATCAATTTGTGACATTGCCTCTAACTTACTTTCATTTCAGGCCTACTCGTTTTTTCAGCTACTAAATAGTAAATGGTTCTAATTGTAGTATAATGTGTCATTCACAATAAACCATTACTTCATTCTAATTGGTCTAGGGTCTGTTTATTACCACGTAACACATTTGTCAGTCACAGTGTTGCGTGAAACAATTTAACCATCCAAATTAAAGTTTCAGGCTCATTTCACAAAAACATATCAGCAATCTAGAATGTCAGTCCACCATAATTGTGTGCAAATACGAATAGTGATGAACATTAGTTGTGACCAAATTCCATTTTTCTGTTTCATATGAATATGAAACTAGTTCCTCCTTCAAACGCAAAACGTTTGGTCTATAAAAGCAGGTCAAACTGCAAAACATTTGATATGTTTCAAAATCTCAAGAATCAGTTTATGAAACTTCACTTATTGCTGTAACTGTAACAGAAAAAATGACTGGTTTGTTCATTGATCTATTGGATTACTTAAGGGTGAACAAAGGTGGAGTTTCCTTAACTGGTTGAGGGAGGGTAAAATCATTGAGGTTGCAGAGAAATAGCTGGCAAATTTCAGAATATCCCAAGTATTTTCCTGCTATTAAGAAAAATTCTAAAGGGAGGGCACCTCATCTGTTGCTCACCAAACAAGTTAGGGAAAGCATTAAACTTGAGGGTAAAAGATACATAACTGTACAAAGATTAATGGCAGGTTAGATGATTGATTAGAACATAAAAAACAGCAAAGAATGACTTGAAGGTTAATCAGAAGGAAGATATTAAATATGAAAGGAAGCTAGCTAGAAATGTAAAAGTGGATAACAAGACATTCTATAGGTATTTTAGAAAACAAAGAGTAAGTATTGTGAATTAACACTCAAGTAGAAACAAAATCCATGAGTGATCTAAAGAAATCAAACTGGTCTCAAAACGTTGACTCTGTTTCTCTTTCTACAGATGTTGTCAAATCTGTTGAGTTTCTTCAGCACTTTGGTTTTATTTAAGTGAGTGTCTGTCCACTAGAAAGTGAGACTGGACTATTATTAATAAAGAAACAGTGAATGAAATGAACAAATATTTTGCTTACGTATTCATTACAGAGGATATAAAAAAGCATTTGAGTAATAACTACAAATCAGGGGATTGAATGGCAGGAGAAACTTTGTGAAATTACAATCATGAGGGAAGTGGTACTAAGCAAACTAATGGAGCTATGGGCAACTCCAACCCAAAACTCCTGACCACAAACCTGGCTTGTCTATTCCTTCTGTACACAGTACCCTTCTATCCCCTTCCTTCATTCCCCATTTACCCCCTGACCTGATCAGACTACATCTCACACAGATACCATCTCACCTGCCTGCCCTTCAATTTGCCTAACACCTGACCTGCCTGCAACCCCATGCGCTCGAAATACTTAAGGCGTGTTTCCTTTGTTTGCCCCAAACTACAATACTTCAATGGAGCTCTCTGAGGGACCCTATGCTCTGAAATTTTGGAACAGTTGGATCTGGAAGAAAAACCTGGCAAAAAAATGCAGAGCAGATTTGAGGTAAGGAAAAGTTCAAGTGCTGCAGCAATCTGGTTATGATTATCAGTTCACAGATCAGTCCAATGATTGTGATGAAAACCAACAAGAGCCTTTGTTGATTAGTCCCAAGTAGGGTCAGTGCAGTGTTGCTGCTGTGATGCCACTGAGAGATTAGGCATTGCTTGGAATATCTAGAGGTTTACTTTTCTCAGACTCTGGGATCCTGATGAATCATCTCAGGAAACAGTTTTCCAGTAATGCCTGTATGCAGTGCTTTAAAAAAAATACCTCAGGAAATTCCAAAGCGCTTCACAACAAATAACTAAATTTTGAAGCATAGTCACGAGTGTTTTGTAGGCAAAGTAACATACTGGAAGAACTTCTCTGCTCTTTAAGTGGTACCTTAGGATCTTTTATGCCCGCCTGAACAGGTAAACAAAGCTTTGCTTTAACATTTCATGTGAAACAGCTTTGCCAAAAACAGCACTCCTGCACTTAAATGTTAACCTTAGATTAAAGCTTCAAACCATGTCTTTCTGACTTTAAAGTTGAGAGTTCTACCACTAAATTAAATTACAGCTGTTTTCTTTTTGCCGTTAGGAAAGTTAATATTTCAGTTATTGGAAAGCAATGACGTTGAGGTGATCCAATAGTGACGAGCCAGAAATTTAAGGGTGTTTAGTCTAAATGATGTTTTGTCATACTTTTAAATTTTAGCAAAGTAAAACCCTTGAGACTTTCGTGTCCCTCTCAGAACATTATAGTCTCTTTCACACTTTGCAGTTCAAGTAGTCTGTGAAAAGGAAACCATTTCTTAGAAGTGTGGGGGAAACCTTTTGTGAGGTGGAACTTCTGTCTTGCTGTTTTCTAGTTTCCTTTTGCATGTATCTAATAAGACTAAACATAACTTAGTTGACAAGTACTGAATAGTTTTCTTCAGCCAGTGTTTGGGATGACACTAAGTTAGTATCAATGGTAGGGGGAAAGGAGGAGGCTGAAGACTTGACGACACTTTCACTTTCCTTCTCAAAGGTGGTTCGTTGGAGTGATTAAATCATATAGTTTTCAACATAAAATTCCAGCCAAATGCAAATTTTCAGTCATAATAGTTAATTAACAAATATGTCTAAATAAAAATAATTGCTTGACCTCTCAATCTTGTTTGTATTCAGTTAGTTGAATTATTCATATTAGAATCATAATTCTCTAAGTTTTAAGATAATTATGGATAAAGGTAAGACTGGTCCTCGGGTGAAAGTGCTAAATTGCAGAAGGCTAATTACAACCACATTAGACAGGAACTAGAGAAATTTACTGACCGCAGCAGGTTGAGGGTAAATCCACATCTCACATGTGGGAGTCTTTTAAAGGCCAGTTGATCGGAGTTCAGGACTGGCATGTTCCTGTGAAGATGAAGATATGGATAGCAAGACTAGGGAGCTCTGGATGGCAAGAAATATTGAAAGCTTAGTCAAAAATAAAGCATATGTAAATGTTAAGAAACTTCTCTTAGAAAAGGCATTTGAGGAATTTAAAGGAAGCAGGAAAGAACTTAACAAGGAATTAGGAGGGCTAAAAGGGGCCATGAAATGTCCTTGGCAAGTAGAATTAAGGACCATCCCAAGCCATTTTATACATATAATAGGAGCAACAGGGTAGTTAAAGAAAGGGTAGGTCCACTCAAGGATATAGAAGAAAAATTATCATAGAGCCATTGAGTCTACACTGATCGAGAACAACCACCTAACTGTTTGAATCACATTTTCCAGCATTTGTCCCATAGCCTTGGCATTGCAAATGTACATCTAAATACTTTGTAAAGGTTATGACGGTTTAAGACCGTAAGGAACAGGAGTAGGCTATTTGAATCATTCAATAAGATCATGGCTGATGTGACATTCCACGTTCACTTTCCTGCATACTTCTCATAACCCTTAATTCTCCTCCTGATCAAGAAGATATCTACCTCAGCCTTAAATATACACAAGGACTCTGCTTCCACAGCTTCTTGTGGTAAGGAGTTTCCAAGACACTCGAGCCTTTGACAGAAGAAATTCCTCCACATCTCAGTCTTAGACTGGAGCCTCTTTGTTGTGAGACTAACCCCTCTGGCCCCAGAGTCTCCCATGAAGTGAAACATCATCTCAGTATTTACCCAGTCAAGGTCCTTAACAGTCCTATATCTATCAATGAGGTCACCTCTCATTCTGCTAAACTATGCACGGGAGGGAGGGAAGGAAGAAAGGAAGGGCAACAATAATAGGGGATTTCATAGTCAGGGTAACAGAGAGGTGCTACTGTGGCCAACAACATGACTCCAGGATGGTGTGTTGCCTCCCTGGTGCTGGAGTCTGGGATGTGAGTGAATGGCTGCACAGCATCCTGAATGGGTGAGGATAATCAGGCAGAGGTCGTGGTACATGTTGGTACCAATGAGAGAGGTAGAAGGAGGGATGAGGTCTTGCATCAAGAATTCAGGGAGCTAGGCATAGACTAAAAAGCAGTACCTCTCAGGTTGTAACCTCTGTTGCTACATGTTAGGGAGCACAGAAATAGAAGAACAGTGCAGATTGTTATAAAGCGGAAGTTGACCCTCCCCCCATAACTAAACAAGAGAGGAGCACCTCATCCATAATCTTTTAAAAGGAGTGTGAGAAGGGGTGCAATCCATTTTTTTTCAGCAACTTCTAGTGGTTAAGTAAAATAAACCCCTGACACTCAACAAGTAAAAATTTATTTATCTAACTAACACTGAACCAATTAACTAAATTATTAACAAACCAAATAAACCCCTTCTAACTACTAATTATTCCCAAATAAAAGAAGATTCTAATGGTACGCTGTTCCAACAAAAACGAGTCCCACTTACATAAAGCAAGAATAATAAAAACTGAATTTAGTCTCTCAAAATTACAGCCAGGTTACGAGTCTTCAGGGATGTTGTGTGCCTTCTCCGCCAAATGTACTGTCAGGAACACTTTCTCCGT